CTCCACGAAGGCGCAGCGCGGCCCCGCCGCTGCAGGGTCTTCAACCCCTACACCGAGTTCCCGGAGTTCAGCCGTCGCCTCATCAAGGACCTGGAGTGCATGTTCCGGCGGTGAGCGCGCGCGTCCCGGGGACCAGGGTGGGGAGGACAGGGGTGGCCCCGAACCCCGGGTCCCGCCTGGGTGATGCAGGCGAGCAGGGGGTGCCCTTTCTATTAGCTCCAGCGTCCTTAGCGCTGCGCGTGCCGCGTCGGGCCGGCGCGGTGCGGGGACCCAGCTGGGCGGGGAAACTGAGGCAGGAGCCGTGTCCTCAGGGACCCAGGGAAGCTGAGCGCTGGCTCCCTGGCCCGGAGAAGGGAACCGCGCGGCTCCCAGATTGGCTCGGAGCGCACTTTTAGGAAAGGAGACGCCGCCGCGCCTCACCTGCCAGGTTTAACGATCTCGCATCCGAGAAATGATAGCCTAGCGCCCTTTTAGCTAAGCGAGTCCTGGTGGCGCAGTGGTTAAAGCCCTCGCCTGCTAATTAAAAGACTTGAACCCAGCAAGATTCACAGCTTTGGAAACTCTATGGGGGCAGTTCTCGTCTGTCCTATAGGGTCACTGTGTGTCTGAATCGACTCCGCGGCGATGGGTTGGGTTTTTGGCCCTTTTTATCTTTTAAAACACGACTTAAGTTCATCCTTGGCGGCTACGCAGTGGTCGGAGACGCAAACCGACGCTGAGAACTGGGAGTTTGTTGAACTTGTAAAAGATTCAGGGTGTTTCTGGAGCCAGCGCCCCGGAGGAGCGTCCTGGGGCGTCGCCTTTTCTGGTTTCCACTGCCCCGCCTGTAGGCAAGAACCCGGCTTGGCAGCCTGCGGCGCTGGCGAGGGGCTCCGCCCTGCCCTGGGTCAGCCCCACCGGGCGGCTTGGGCAGGGGAACCTGCCCTGGGTCCTCGAGGCTGCTGGCACGCCCTGGACGCTGGGCAGTGGAGACGGTGTACAGAGTCCCCACTAGTCACCAGTCGGTCTTGAAACTCCCTGGGCCTCAGTTTCCCCATCTGGAGAGTGGGGGCGGTAATAGTTCCTGCCTTTTAAGGCCACAGAGTGCTTTGCACCCTGTAAGTGCCTAACTGAGCTATTAATAATATTTCTAGGATCTGCCGAGACCCACCGGAAAGCTGCCTGGGGGAGTGGAGGCCGGTGGCAGCAGGGTGGTGCTTGGAGCTTTTTGTAAAAGCACATTCCTCTGAGCGGAGATGCTATTTAAAGGCGCTGTGGCCGTAGCATGGTGGCTTCCGGAGCCTGTCGCTAACCCCAGCCTGTCGCTAACCCCTTTTACCCTACATCCTGATTCCTGCCTGGTCCCTGCTTTAGAGGCACTGTTTTTTGGTGTTCACACCTGGTGTTTCTATTTTGGGCAACTAATAAGGCAGAGTTGGTGCAAAGGAATGTGACTGGGGTGAGATGGGTAGGACACGAGATGGGTAGGACAGTGGCTTACTCAAGTCCCTTTGATTTATTGAGGCAAACCTTTTCAGGTGGAGACTGCTCTGGCGGTTACCCCCTTGTCCCAGCACTTCTACCCAGCCTAGGAGGACATCTTAGGGACTTGAGGGCCCTTCATTTTCAGCTTGCTTTTGGTGACTCGAGTTTCATTTGTTTTCCCTGCAAAAGTGATCTTAAAAAGCTAAGTTTGTTAGTTAGCTGCTTACGAGTATCTTCGCAGAATCAAGCTGGAACAGTATCAGCCTAAGGGGAAAGTTGTGTGTGTTCTGAGGTCCCAAGAGAGCCGATCATCCAGGTCTGTGATGGAACTTGTCCACAGCTACTGTGTTGGACAGAATTCTGGGTTAGGTTTTCTGTCACTTGCAGTGAAAATCGGCGTAAACCAACAGGGGAGGCATCGGCTCATGAATCTAAAAGCTGCAATGGTTTCAGGTATGGCTGGATCCAGGAGTTCAGGTGATGCCAGGGCTCATGTTCTTTTTTTAAGCCAGCTGTCCCCTCTCTCATTTGGTGGCAGTGTGGCCACAGCAGCTTCAGCAAGTCCAGTGGCAAACAGTAGCCCCAGCAAAGGCCTTATTGTGTCTTTTTTTGGTAGCTTTGTTATTGTGTCTTGTTGGCTCTGAATCAATTGCAGTGGCCAGGAAAATTCATTGTTCTGACTGGCCAGGCCTGAGCCACGTGGAGTGAGAAGTGCAGACCTACCCCAGGGGTCTGGGAGTAGGGAAGAATAGACTCCAATCTGACCCTGACCCTGACCCTGACCTTGACCATGGGGGCACTTAGGCCTGCTGCTTGGTTGCATTCACATTGAGCCATGAGTTTCCTGAGGCAGGGCTGCCAGCTGGTTGTCAGGGAGTGGGATGTGAGGGACAAGTGTTCCAAAGACACCTGTCCAAAGACAGGACAGGCAAGGCTCCAAGTAGAGCTGCCTGGGGCAGTGGCTGGAGACACCAGTGTGCCAGACAGGCAGAGGGTCAGACCTGGCCTTCTAACTGTGACCTCGGGCAAGCCACATGTCCCCTAAGCCTGACCTTCCTTGCTGGTAAAATTGGGACAAATGGTACCTTCCCTGGGTTGTGCAAGAGATTAATGCACTCAGTTGCTAGCCAGAAGTTTCGAGTTTGCCCAGAGACATCTTACATGGAAGGCCTGGCGATGAACTTCGGAAAACCCTGTGGAGTCCAATTTTACTCTGACGCTCATTGTGTTGCCATGAATCACAATTGACTCAACATCAGCGGGGTTTTACTACCTTCCAATAAAGGCTGGGTAGTTCTGAGACTGCCAGGGGCAGACAGTGATGGGGAGGGGGCCACTTGGGGCATACGTTTGGCAAGCCCTCTGTTATACCTGTTGTCAAGGTCCAATTATCCATCGTGGGTCCGGGGAGGAGGGAGGGTTGGGACCCTGATTCTGGGCGTGCTAGCTGTGATGCTGGGCAGGTTACTTCACCCGATCTATCTCCTGTATAGAGTGGGGACCAGGGGTCCCTTTCACAGAGGTTTGTGAGAACTCAGGAAGAAGAATGGGTGCTGAGGGGGGCAGGGGACATAGAACAGGGCCTTCAGCCCACTTGGGTCCATGTCCAAGTCCTGCCAGACCCTGTACCCCATCTCTCCCCTCCCACCTTCAAGCTCCCCACAGCTCCGAAGATAGGGACCTCTTGGCCCTGAGGCCCCCTAAACACAGCTGCCCTCCAGCTGAGCTCACTGGTTTTCTTATTCGGGCTCTCCCCCCACCACGGGCCTCCTGAGCACCTCGGATTCAGCTCTGGCTTTAGTCCTTGTTGACGCCTGGTGCCCAGTGACCATAGCTGACGGACAGATCTGGTCCAAAGCTCTCGTCTTACAGAGAGGTCCTGACAGGTCTCGAGCTCGCTGCCCACCCGGCTGGCTCTGGGGCCTTGCTTGCCCCCAGCTGGCCAGCCCAGCGGCCCACTGGCACCCTCCTGCCCGGGGCCCGGGCCGTATCAGTTCCCCACGTGCTGTATTGCCCTGCCCTGGTACTGGTCCTATGCCCCAGTGCCTGCTCCTCAGCTTGCTGGACAGTCCTGGGGACCAGCTCTGCTCCAGGCCAGCCCCAGCTCCCTGCTGGCCCTCTCGGATGCATCCTTCTTTCTCTGTCCACTGCCCTGTGTAACTGTTTTTTTTTTTTTTTTCCCCTTCAATTGTGATTTGGGTGAAAGTTTACAGAACAAATTCACTTTCCATACAGCGTTTCACATACACTTTGTCTCATGACATTGGCTATAATTTACCCCAATGCAACAGCTTCCATCCCACTTTTTTTTTTTTTAACTACACAACTTAAAAAATTTATAAACTGTATCTAAGTATTTTTGAAGACCTGACGGGTCACTTTTTCTCAGATTTGCCTACTACGCTGCCCTTCCCATGTCCACTCCTGCATGGCCCCGTGTGTGCAGCTCCCGTGGCCACAAGCCAAGGGCTCAGGCAAGGGGAACCCTGGGGGCCTCCTGGGTACGGCTACTGCCTGGGCTGCCCCAGAGCCCGCCTCCTCGCATGCCACCCTCTCCGCTCTCTGGGATGTGGCTGCGTCGGAGCCAGCTGGCTGGCCGGTCCCACTCCTCTCCTCACCAAAGCAGTGTCTCTTCCCCGTTTTTCTTTTTCCTTTGGTTTCCATACTTGAGTCCCTGGGTGGGGCAGATGGTTGAGGGCTTGGCAGCTGACTGAAAAGCTGGCAGTTCAAACCCACCCAGAAGCTCCTCGAAGAAAGGCCTGCCAATCCATCTCTGAAAGATCCGCCATTGACAACCCCACGGACAGCTCTTCTCTGACCCTGGAGTTGCCATGACTTGGAATCGACTCAGCAGCAACTGGTGGTGGTGGTCTAGCCTTAAATTATTATTATTATTTTTTTAAAGTTAAAAATCCCAAAGAACATCACACAACAACTTGCTTTCCAAATCTGACTCATTGCCGAAGCAGTATTACAAGGTGGTTAAGAGCAGGAATTTTGGAGCCAGATTTGTAGGTTCAAACCCTGGCACCACTGCTTGCTACCTGGCAAGATATAAAAGAACCCCTTGCCACAGTGTCCCCTCCCACAAACGGTGATGGAATGGTACCTACCTCGTGGGGCCTCTTGTGTGGATAAGTGAATTAACGTGTGTCATCACTTAGCTGAACGCCCGGGCCTGGGATGAGGATGGGTGTGCTTTGGTTACTGATGTTTAGCTCCTCACGCAGCTGTGATTCTGCTGAGGCACCCGTTCTGTGTTGTACCTCGTTAAAGGCTTACTAGTTCATCAACACTTTGGCATGTCGGTTTGATCCTTTGAAGTTGATTTAATCTGGAGTGTGAGCTGTGGGCTGTGGCCCTGGCTTTCCGGCGAGTTACTTGGGACAGTGTGTCCTGCTGGAGTCCTGCAGCGACTTCTTGGCTCGTCTGCTGGACAAGTGAGGAGAGGTACCGAGTCCCTGTGGTTCCATCACTGTCTCCTCCTCTCCTCTGGGTGGCAGGGTGGGAGCACCAGGGGGACCCTTCCAAGGGGCCCTTGCATCGGGAGGGGCAGAATCCCTGACTTAGGCAAAGCCTGTGGTGATTCCTGCCCCTAAACCCAAAACACCAACCCTGCTGCTGTGCAGTTGGTTCTCGGCGACCC